CGAGACAATGACACAAGATGGAGCTCGTGGCATACCATGCTGCAAACGGCCCTGAGCCTGAGGGACGCAATTGACGGCTATTTCAACAAGTGGATGGAAGCGGATTGCGCAGGGGATGAGCTCTCTGCAGAGGACTGGATCATTTTGGAGAAGATCAAGTCCTTTTTGGAGAAGCTAAAAATGACGACCAAGGCCCTCGAGTCGTCGTTTGCAACGCTGGACAATGTCCTCTTGGCTATGGACTTCATGTTGGGTCAATTCGAAGCAGGGAAGGAGGCGCACGTCGACGATCCGATGATGGGACCAATGTACAACTCAGGGTGGGCGAAGCTGGACAAGTACTATCGTCTTACTGATGAATCTCCTGCGTACGTTGCAGCCATCGTGCTCCATCCTTCGCATAAATGGCACTACATAGAGGAGACTGGAAAAGGGAGTGGGTCGAGTTATCAAAGAAGTTGATTCAGACGCTGTGGGAGGAATATAAACCCGTGGAATCACCTCTTCCGCCACGGGAGATATAAACCCGTGGAATCACCTCTTCCGCCACGTGACCCCCCGTCGAAGACGACGAACGAGTTCTTGAATTGGAGGAACAAGCATCTCCAGCCTTCGCTCATCATGGATGAGTACGAGCGTTATTGTAAGTCTGAGCGGACTTATGGGTTCACGAGTGCACTTTCGTGGTGGCTGGAGGAGACGCAACAGAAAAACTACCCTAATCTGAGCAAAATGGCTGTGGACATACTATCCATTCCTGCGATGTCTGCCGAGCCCGAACGACTCTTCTCTGGGGCAAAGATAACAATTACGGATCGTCGAAATCGACTTGGGAGTGATGTGATTGAGGCGTTGGAGTGTTTGAAGTCATGGTTCAGGATACAAGATTTCCAAGTTGACGATGTTTCGGTGGCGGCAGTGGGATGATGACCGTCACGTGCAATACACGCAACCGTTTTGCTGCCTGGGGGGCCACTGGCAATATATTGGGTTCTTGGCAATACAATACAATATAGCTCCATGTTATATGGGGTAATATAATATGCACCTCTTGACAATACAATAATATTGCGAGGGGGTCTATATTGCCAATATCGTATTGTTTATATTATTAGCAACACTGCGTTGACGAGAAGATGGGCCGAGCGGCGAAGCACTGAAGACCCATATGTGGCCATGTATTTTGTTTTTAGAGGGGAGAGTAATGTTTGGATTGTTTGGGCTTCGTCGTCGCACTATAGGAGGTGAGTTGTTGCCAGCTGCGGCCGCAGTCGTCGGCGGCAGATGCGTGGTTTTCGTGACGTGCTCGTGAATTTCGCGCTCCTTTCCCGCCCGCCATCGCAACGAGACCTCTATGGAAGTCAAAACATGGGTTCGTTTGTTTGGTTCGTTGGCTTGGTGGGAAAAAGGGGTGAGAAAATGACACATTGCGACCGCGGGCGGGAGTTTTATGTTCCTCAAGTGGCTGTTGCTTCAAAATTCGTTCTCGCTCTTTTTTCACTTCTCGCCAGCGCTTCCACCGTGACCACCCCATCATCACTGACACGGACACGGGTGGCACATGTTTTATCTCATCGAAAGGCTCAACGGACGTGGAAGGCCGGACTCCAGGACAAAGATACGACCTCGACAACTGAGGCAGAAATCTTGAGTCTAGAAAGAACAGTCAAGGAAAGTTACGCCCCAGACAGGCTTCTCAGGGACATTTATCTTGACCTTGGACCCCTCAAGATATACTGCGACAAACTTCAGTCAATCCGACTTGTGGTACATGTAGAAGACAACCAGAGGATCACAACGAAATTGCGACACGTTGAATTCAGAACATTGACACGTGCGAATCAAAAGGGTTGTTTATTCGACAAGTGATAGTGACTTGGCGGATCAAATATTCCATCGTGGTGTCAAATCGTTGTTCGAGTCCGAAGGCGGAGGGTTGTCAGAAATACGATGGCACTACAGTATCACGGAGAGAATTCTACTGTATGTTCAAAAGATTGTTGTTCAGTTGATTATCCAGGACGGGAATCCTCCCAGACTAAAATGACTTTTGTAATGCTGCTGCCCAACGATTGCTACCCAAGCATCAGGTGCAAGCTGTGCACAGTGCGGTGTATCAACCTGCAACTCCACAATCTGACAAGGGTTTATACCTCACACTGTAATTGGGACGGGGCCACGTCCGCCTATTAGGTCCGCGCAGGTTTAGGTGACGGCGCTCTCAATTATCGAAGTCCGCTCAATTACAGCGTCCTCTTTGTGCATTAGCTCGCGCTCTCATCCTCATCACCGAATGAAGTACCTGACGCCATGGAAATTGCATTGAGCTTGGATTCATATGCCTGGTTCGAATACATGGGTGATGAACTCCTTATAAGTAGAAGTCATGTACCTTGCGATCTCGCGCACCACTGCCACAACAATGTAGGCCCCAATGAGGCTCTTATTATCTCCAACAGACATATCCCCCACCATTTCCAAACAATTGCCGCGATCACAAGCAAAATAAAGCTTCCATTCTTGTTCCAAGACCAGAAGCTGTGGCAGCGTGGCGATTGCGCGTCTATCTTCCTCTGGAAAAGCTGAGCGCTTTGCCTCCAGGAAAGCCCCTATGCGCTGATGCCACGCAGCTGTAGATACGCCAAGCTGAATTCTGCCCTCCTCGGCAGAACCTGTTACTTTCGTCTCGATCATACTGCCTATCGGCCGGAATTGAACGGGTTGATACTGCGTCTGGTTGACGGATTGCATGTCTCTCGGTTCAGACAACACCGTGTCTCGGATCCGCTCAGCCAATGCCTTGTCTGCGCTTGAAGTTTGAATGTTGTCCAGTGCTAAGACTAGGACAAAATCGATCATCTTGCTCTCTACAGCCTGTCCCGCACCGTCCGATGTGGGTACAAAAGGTGGAAGAATCCGCGCCGTCGTTGCCAACTCCCGTTTGACGGAGCTAAAAGGTTTTAATGCTAGTTTAAGCAGTGGGCCATGAACCTCCATATTCCAAGAGGCTTCCGATCGATTGAGGGCCTGACTATCCCGAGCATCAGATACAATGTCCTTAAGCTTCTCTAGTTCTTTTAAGGCTATAGACCGATCTTCGTCTCGGGACATGCTACCCTGCTCCGTTGGCGACGTAGTGAACCATGACCCTTTAATATGTCGGCCAGTTGCCGCACAAATTTCGTCACGGATAATATGTGGCAGGAACGCGTCTCGCTCTACTGCAATTTGATATATCCGACTATACAACTTCTGTACGTCGGCCGGTAGCTGGTCGGTCGCATTATCGTAAAGTGGCATGTAGAACACAGGCTTTTTGAGAGCCTGAAGGTGGAATCGTTTAGTAGGGCTCCCTGAGCGCCGGCTGGGGCTCTTCGAATATCGCGATGACGCAGCGGACGACTCGGACGCGGCGAAGCTTGGTGGATTTGAAAGTCGGTAGGGCAGGTCTGATGCGTCACGAGAGCGGGCAGTGGGTGTCTTCTGAACATCATCCTCCTCGACTGGGCTTTGTCCTACTCGCCGTTTCTTCGCAGGCGACGGGCTGCGGTCCATGTCGTGATTTGATGGTGGAGGCGTAGGGATATCTCTGCATGGACTCTTCCAATGCTGTTCTGACCCTGTTGGCGGCTCATAGTCGTTGGTTTGGATCGCTGTATTGAGTCTCCATTGTTGTATACGGCTTTTTATGTCAATTACCTGATCAAACATGACTTTGACACATTGTCGACTGGCGTTGGTCAAAGAATTAGCAATGGACTGGCAGGAGTGGGGTCCTTATGAATTGTTAGGTGTTGGTGATTGGTTGGCAGGCCAACAGATGGGTGGGCAACCAACACTGCGCCCAATTAGACGCGTCATTTCCTCCCATATCATGAGCATCTGTTACACCGGCCCGGCTATAACCGAAATCGACCTTTTACAGCCATAAATCGAAAACGTCGTGGACTTCGCTGTTTCGGCCAATGCTGGCCTTTTGCACCCGAGTGATGCAACCAAGAGTCACGTGAAGTTGCAGACCTGTAGACAGAATTGAATCCAATCTCACTCTCCCGTTGGTTTCCCGAGCGACTGGAGTGCTACAACGCATTGGGCTAGTTCCTGACAATCCACCAAATCTGGCACTGAAATAGTACAGTACTTGTGCCACGCCCCACTTCTTTGGAACTCGCATCACTCTCACCAACATAAGTTGGTGCTGGACACCCACGTAACCAGATCACCCATATAACCACTTTTTGCAACTTTCTTATTAGAAGCGCTTCAACAGCCGCCTACCACCTTCAGAGTCCACTACTTCTGCTCTGTCCGGTCTTTCAGAAACCATCCACTTACGGGCCTTTTTTGCCGCTTCTTCAAATACACCTTTGCGCGCGTTGACCGCCTTCAACTCTGCCGCCTCGACTGTCTTCCTCGCCTTAGCCAGCTGGTCTTTCTCCCTCTGCCTCACCAGTTCACGACCCTGCGCCACTGTTAACAACCTCCTGACTGTATTGGGGTATTCTTCAAGGCCTTACGTTGTTGTGCAAGGTGCTCAGCCATTTTGGTCCTCCCTAAGTCTCTCTTCATTTGTATCAGCTCTGTAGCCAATGTGAGAGATCCTCTTATGAAACGACTCATTTCATAACGAAAAGATCAGGGTCAAGACTGTCATCTTCCTTGATTACTCTGGTGACCTTGTCTGCTACCTTGTTCATTTGACGGAGTGTTACTGGAGTACCAAATGGTGAGGACTGTAATCAGGAAGCGAAGATGAAATCCGATCAACTATTTGGGTTGGTGGTCAAGACCACTCCGACGAAGAAACGGATCAAGAGCTTGAAAGCTTCGACAGCCAAGCTACAAGCCAGACCGTTAGTCCAACACCCGACGAGAGTCACAGAGGCTCCAACAGCCCGGACCTTCAAGATCAGGATAACCAGGAAAATCGACAAGACCATGACGCGAATCGACAAGACCATGACAACGAACATGAGATCGAGATCGATGATCAGTCAGTAAGAGAAGCGGAGAACCCGCCAACACGCAAATCATTGCGACAAAAGAAACCAAGTGAACGAGCTCGCGAAGCAGCAGCTGGTTCATGTGCAGTTTACCGAAGCAGCTTTTTCATCGGCCGAGAACAAAAGCTGCACCGACGAAGTCTTCCTCCAGAACCAAGAAACTACCATGAGCTAATCGGACACCAATTTGAACAAGATTTCAAAGAAGCCATGGAAGTCGAATGGACAAGTGTACAGAAACGAGGAACGGTTAAGCCAATCCCCAGAGATCAGGCGACCGGCCAAATTCTACCACTTACATGGGTATTCAAATACAAATTCAACAAACATGGATACCTTCAGAAGTTCAAAGCACGAATCTGCGTTCGAGGTGATCTGCAGCAGCTAGGGTCCAAGGATACCTACGC